GAAAGAGTGGAATGTGATTACCATATTCAGTTTTTGAAACCCTTTTCGGGGGAAAGAAAAAGTATACCTACCCTGTATAACTTTAGAGTTTGAACTAAAAGTACCTGAAACCCCAGGGTTTTGTAGCAGTATGCTGTCATTATTGTTGCTGCTGTTGTCGTTTTAAGAAAAAGTTTGTTTAATGTGCAAGAAAGAGAATAAACACCCATACTTCTACCAATGATTTTCTTAAATATGAAGAAAGCTACTGTATATACATGCAGACATTACTCCATATATAGTTTCAGAATGATCATGGTAGGGGAATCCATGAATCTCTAGTTAAGACTTCATGTTCTCTTGCTCTGCATATGTGTACAAATACACACACATATATATTTCACAAAGGTGGGATCATAGTCTATTTTTCTTTGATCACATTTATCACTAATGTATAATAATAACTATTGAGTGTTTATTATATGTTAGTAATTGTGCATTCATATAATACTCAGAACCAAACATTTTTCCTGGTCCAGTAAATATTCATCTTTAATATAATTTTTAATTGGTGGCTATATTTTTGAAGCATTTGGTATCTTTTTTATCTAATTTACAAAAAGTATTTCCCAAAATTTGCTTTGTTTTGCATCATTTCAGTACCAACTGACTAGTGTGGAACCAGTCTTAAAGGACTATTGAAAAGTGGAGATTGTTCACAGCAGAGCAATCTGGACAGCAGAGATATGAATCAAATTTTAAGGAGTTATTTATTTAAAGTTATTTATCTTAGGTAAAATAATTGATGTACATAGCTGTTTTGTTTTTTGCATTGGAAAAGTACTGTGATTTAAGAGTTAGAAGACTCAGCTTTGGTAGTCACTTAGCTTCTCTGAGCATTAGTTTTCTTATCTTTGTCAAAGGGCTAATATAAACCTCCCTGACTTCACTTAGAGAGTATAAAAAGAGGTTAAAGGGAAAGAAACTGATCATTGTTAGATTAGCTAACTTCACAGTATTTGAGAATGTCAGTTCTTTATATTTTTAGTAAATAAATGTAAAATCTGATGACAGCAAACCGTCTTTTTTTTTTTAAAGGAAAATCCAATCAGTTGATTGATTCCTAAACATTGTTTTTTAATAAATTTACTTCCAGAAAGGTTGTTTTATTGTATTAGTAATAAAATCAACAGTAACTGCTTTTATCTGTTGAGCAGTTATAGAGTGCCAAATACCGTGCAAAAGTATTTACTGCATATATTGTTTCATTTAGTCCTTATAACAGCCTTGGAGGAATTGTTGAGGAAGAGAATTCAGGCCTATCGTGTTCTAAAACCTGAACTTTTAACCATCTAATCTATATTTACTCACTTTATATCCTAAAAGAGGCAGTAAATGGCATTGAGGTTAAGAGTATACAGGTTCTGGAGCCAGCCTGCTTGGATTTGAACCCTGGGCCTGCCACTTACTAACATTTTTATTTCAGCAAGGTAATTACTCTTTTCTTTCAGACAGAGATAATAATGCTCCTGCTGATAGAGATATCATAACAATCAAATAAATGATCAAATGCGAAGCATTTAAAACAGTGTCTGGCACATAATTGTCATTATTTACAAACTTATTATTTAAAACTATGCAGCTCATTAAAACATTTCATAGACTCCACTGATTAGACAGTTGGGTGGACTAGGTAGGGGGAATTTTTGTGTTTGGGGTTTTTTGTATGTGAAGTTTTCCATGAAGAGGTTTTATTTTTTTATTCAATTTATTGGGGTAACATTTGTTAATAACATTATATAAATTTCAGGTATACAACATTATAATTTGATATCTGTATACTTTATTGTGCGCTCACCACCCAAAGTCTAGTCTCCTTCCATCACCATATATATTTGATTCTCTTTACTATCTTCACCCTCACCTGACCTCCCTTCCCATCTAATAACTACCATCTGTTTTCTGTATCTGTGAGTTTGTTTAACTTGTTTTGTTCATTCGTTTGTTGCTTTTTGTTTTATATTCCACATTTGAGTGAAATCTTAGTTTTTGTCCTTTTCCATCTGACTTGTTTCACTTAGCATAATACTCTCTGGATCCATTTATATTGCCACAAATAGTAGTATTTTTTATGGCTGAGCACTATTCCATCGTATATATGTACCTCATCTTCTTTAATCACTTGTCGATAGGTTGTTTCCATGTCTTGGCTATTGTAAATTATGCTGCAGTGAACATAAGGGTACATATATTTTTATGAGTAAGTGTTTTCAAACTTTTTGCATAAATACCCAGAAGAGGGATTGCTGAGTCATATGGTAGTTCTATTCTTAATTTGTTAAGAAAGCTCCATACTGTTTCCCAGAGTGGCTGCACCAATTTACATTCCCACCAGCAATGTGTAAGGGTTCCCTTTTCACCACATTCTCTCCAACATGTGATATGTCTTGTCTTACTAGTAATAGCCACTCTCAACAAGTGAGGTGGTATCTCATTGTGGTTTTGAATTGCGTTTCCCTAGTAATTAGTGATGTAATGTGCATTGCTCATCTGTATGTCTTCCTTGGAAAAATGTCTCCTCAGATCCTCTGTCCCCTTTTTATTCAGGTTGTTTGTTTGTTTTGTTGTTGTTGAGTTGTGTGAGTTCTTTATATATTTCAGATATATAAAGAAGTATATATACTTCCTTATTGGAAGTATCATTTGCAGAAATCTTCTCTCATTGGGTTAGTTGCCATTTTTTGTTTTGTTTTGCTTTGGAGAAGTTCTTTAGTTTGATGTAGTCCCATTCATTTATTTTTGTTTTTGTTTCCTTGCTTTTGGAGTTAGGTTCACAAAAATCATCTCTAAGACCAATGTTCATGAGCTTAGTGCATATGTATTTTGTTTCAGGTCCTACATTCAAATCTTTAATCCATTTTGAGTTAATTTTTGTGTATGGTATAAGATAATAATCTAGTTTCATTCTTTTGCATATGACTGTGTAGTTTTCCCAACACCATTTGTTGAAGAGACTTTCCTTTCTGCATTGCATATTCTTGGCTCCATCAATTAATGCTTATTTTATGTATTTTTTAGGTCATTTCTGATTCATTTGCATCCTTGAAGAGCATCTATAGAAGAAGGAAAAGATGGGTGTGAAAACGTTTACTCATAGCTCCTCTTCCCACAGCCAGGAAATGCTTGGAAAGCTAAATATGCTGCGAAATGATGGACATTTTTGTGATATCACTATTCGTGTCCAGGACAAAATCTTCCGGGCACATAAGGTGGTACTAGCAGCTTGCAGTGATTTTTTTCGCACCAAACTTGTAGGCCAAGCAGAGGATGAGAACAAAAATGTGTTGGATTTGCATCATGTTACAGTGACTGGTTTTATACCGCTTTTAGAATATGCTTACACAGCCACTCTGTCAATTAACACAGAAAATATCATTGATGTTTTAGCTGCAGCCAGCTATATGCAAATGTTTAGTGTTGCTAGCACCTGCTCAGAGTTCATGAAATCAAGCATTTTATGGAATACACCTAATAGTCAACCAGAAAAGGGTCTAGATGCTGGACAAGAAAATAACTCTAACTGCAATTTTACTTCTCGAGATGGAAGCATTTCTCCAGTGTCTTCAGAGTGCAGTGTGGTAGAAAGAACCATTCCTGTCTGCCGCGAATCCCGGAGAAAGCGCAAAAGCTACATTGTTATGTCTCCTGAAAGTCCTGTAAAGTGTAGCACGCAAACAAGTTCTCCCCAGGTATTGAATTCTTCAGCTTCCTACTCAGAAAATAGAAATCAACCAGTTGACTCTTCTTTAGCTTTTCCCTGGACTTTTCCTTTTGGAATTGATCGAAGGATTCAGCCTGATAAGGTTAAGCAGGCAGAAAATACCCGGACCTTAGAATTACCTGGCCCATCTGAGACAGGTAGAAGAATGGCTGATTTTGTGACTTGTGAGAGCACAAAAACTACCTTGCCTTTGGGTACTGAAGAAGATGTCCGGGTCAAAGTAGAAAGGTTAAGTGATGAGGAGGTCCATGAGGAAGTATCCCAGCCTGTCAGTGCATCTCAGAGTTCACTGAGTGATCAGCAGACAGTGCCAGGAAGTGAACAAGTCCAAGAGGACCTTCTGATTAGTCCACAGTCTTCCTCTATAGGTATAATGTCTTCTGTGTTTTTCATGATGTTTTAAAGTCAATTCAAGCATTTTTAAGTGCTTACTAGATGAAAAGTTTTGTGCTGGGTCCTATAGGAAATATTAGGAAGAATAAAACATGATAATTGGATTTTTTTATGTGCTACTGGTACTATACATTTTTTTCGCAAGTTATACATTGGGGAAGAAAGAAAATAGTTGAATGGTATCTGATTGGACAAAGGCAGATACAGATATAGATGAATGAATTGTGAATTACTTTCAATGCAAAAAATACCAGTTTAAAAAAATCCAGTTAGTGTTTTATTCTATATTAAAATATTGATTGGAAACTTAGCATGTGCCAAGCATTGAGTATACATGATAAAAAAAAAAAAAAGAGGTAGTTGCTGCATCTGAGGAATTAATAGTATAATTGAGGAAGCAGATGTATAAATCAACAGTTAATGCTAGGCTAGAGATATGCACAAAGTATTATGGCTCCATAAAGGAAAGAGCACCTTAATACTATATATTTGAGCTGGATCTTAATAAGGAAGAATTTGCCCAGTTGAGGGAATGACATTTCTTCGAAAATGTGTAAAAGCACAGAGGTGTGGAAGAGCATTGCATGTTTGTAAGCAGTGAATTTAATGCAGAATGGTGTGAATAAAGCATGGAAGCTCTCCAGTATGGAAAATAATGGGAGATAAGACAAAATGAGTGGTCAAGAGCCTTGAACACGAGTTTCAGTTAGGATTGCATTCAACTGCATGTAACAGAATTCCTTCAGAGTGGCTTAAACCAAACAGGATTTTATTTTTATCACATAAAACATTCAGAAATAGAAAGTCCAGGACTGGTACAGTGGCCCTACAATGTAATCAGTGACCTAGGCTCCTTATATATTTATAATCTACCGTCCTTTGTCAGTTTTATTTGAATGCTTATTGCTTCATGGTTACAAAATGTTTGCTTCATCTTTTAGCCTCATATTCTAGAAAGGGGTAGTGTTTATATCAGGAAAGTACAGATGTTCCCAGAAATCCCTAAAAAACTTCTGCAAGATTGTGTCACATGGTTGTTCTAGCTGCAAGGGAATCTGGGAAGAAATGTATCTTGGTTGTATAACTGCCTCAAACAAATATAAAGGAGAATGGATATTGTATGCAGCTAGCAGTGTCTGCCACAGCTAGGCCAACTAAGCTTGGATCCAGTCCTAGTGTTGATAAGGAGTCTACCTTAAAGGAAATAAAAAGAAAAACATTTACATATATTTTAGGAAAATTAATTTGGTATTGATATGCAGGGAATTTTGCTGAGCAAAGACAGTTTCAGAAATCAGTTACTGGGTTGTCTTTGAATGAATGAAGATGCTTAGAGTAAAACTATAAAGAAAATGGATATTAAAAGGCTTTGTAGAGGATGAATCATTACTACCTGATGATATTTGAATATACGGATTAAGAGAATGGGAGGGGTCAGGGTACTAGGAAAATATTGTTAATGTTATAATTAGTGATTCTGAGGCACAGTTTTTCATATCTGAATTCAGATGTGTCTTACATTAAGTCTTTTACAGTTTTTCTTAATGGTACAAAAAATAATAGCAATCATAAAGGAGCCTATTAAATGCAATAACTATAATATGAAAATCAGAAAGAAGTGGAAACCTAATTTTAAGAGTAAGTCAAAAAGGTCAAATTTATGTGATTTATGCTTGGCTGCTAACCAAGCAATATTATGCCACAGAGCACTTAAAAAGGCAGGATTGGTGAGATCATGACTGAAGATTACCAATTTGGGTCTTTTAGGTCATTTAGCACTGACAGATTGAATCTCAGCGTGGGGGGGGGGGCAGGGTTATATTAATATATTTATAAACATATATATTTATGCATATATATACATATATGTGCCAAAACCAAAGGACTGATCCTTGATAAATATTTATATTCAGAGAGTAAAGAAAAGCTAACAGAATAATAAAGAGGATTTCTCCAAAAGATTGAAGAACCATGAAGTCCATAGTAACTTCGTTACTACTTTCTTGAATTTTGACTCACTATATGAGTTTCCCAGTGCTGCCACAACAAAGTACCATAATCTGGGTAATTTAAACAGCAGAAATTTATTCTTTCATAATTCAGGGGGCCAGAAGGCTGAATTTAAGGTGTTGTCAGGGCCATGCTCCCTTTGAAGGCTACAGGGGAATGATCAATCCTTCCTTCCTATCTTCTGGCAGTTATTGACACTTCTTAACTTGTAGTTGCATGCCTGTGATTTCTACCTCTGTCTTCATGTGGCATTCCCTTGGCGTCAGATCCACATCTCCCTCCCCTTATCAAGACACCAGTCATTGGATTGGGCCCCACCCTACTCCAGTATGAGCTCATTAATTTGATTACATCTGCAAAGACCCTATTTTCAAATAATGTCAAATTCACAGGTACCAGGGGTTAAAACTTGAATAGGTCTTTAGAGGGGGCACAGTTCAATCCTCAATGCCGATTAAAAATCATATTACTGAATTTGGGTCAAGATACATTTGAAGAATTCAAGTGACCACACATCCAATAAGATATTTAATGGCAGGAGAGATCATAGCTATTTGTTGATGTGACCCAAGTTTTCGTTAAGTTACTAGAGTCTTTAATCCTGAAAACAGCTTCATTTATTCTGAATAATGAGCTGTTTAATGAATAATTACTATGTTAATCATTTATCTGAGAACTTAGAAACCAAATATTAATCTAACTGAATATCTTGCTAACTAGACATGTGAAATAGTCTTATTTTACCATTTTTAAGGATATTAATCAGTTCAGATTTTGCCTGTACTAGATTAACGTAAATAGAGAAGTTAGGAACATAAGTAGATAAATCTTTCAGTTGTATAAGCCTAATTTCTAATATATTCTGTTATAAAAATGTGAGTTCTGTTTTAAAGCAGACATGCGAACAACTCTGAGCTGAATATCGTGTAATCAAATTATCCAGGTGAGGTTTTCTTCCTTGCCTTTGTAGCAGATGTATTAATCACTCTCATCTAACCTATCTTAACTCTAAATTTATACACTAAAACAAAGCCTTACAGAAAAATTGAGTTCTTAGTATATAATGGGCAGCCAAAAAAATGCGGAAAGGAGAAAGGGAAGATGTATATGGTACTTTCTTCCATACTACATAGGAATACTTAATAAGAGTACCTAATTTTACTTACTGATTTATTAAAGAAGATATCTAAGAGGTAGTTTGTCAGTCTAGAGACTGACATAATATTTAATATAGTCATGATATTCTAAAATGATAATTTGATTATCCATGAAATTAATTCAAATAGGATATTACCTATTCTTTTAAGTTCCTTTTATTACCAGTTCCCCAGCAAAAGGTTGTAAAATCTAACACCCTCAACTTAGGGCAATAAATACAGCAAACTTAAAAGAGAAAAGAGACTGCTAAGTTCAGGTTAGGTGTTGCTACTCGAAAAGGTGACAATATCTGATGAAGTTTAAGAAAAAATTTATAAGTGAGAAGGACTTCATGATATGGCTTCATTATTTATCTTGAAGTATTCAATTATCTGTATGCACTAATAACAAATATAACTAGTTCTAGATAATCTATAGTTTACTATGTTAGCAAAGGAATTCTTTTTTTTTTTCCTAGACTCTAAAATCTGCTATTAAAGGAAAAAGTGATCATTGTGAAGGTCGATGAAGATACTAAGATATAAGTTGACTATTTTTTCAGTAATGGTAGTGAATAGATAAATTTGTTGAGGTGAGCAGCTAAAATAATGGTGGAATTGCAACACTGATCTTATATGCTATATAGCATAATGATTAAAAGTTCAGGACTTAGAGTCAGACAGATCTAGATTCTGCTACTGGTTTTTGCCACTTAACAGATACGTGACTTGAGCAAGTCACTTAACCTCACTGATTTTCTGTAACTTTAAAGCAAGGATAGTAATACCTATTAAGTATGTCAGCCAAAGAACACAAGGAACACACCTGTAGTTGAACAAGTTGGGGTGGGCAGTGGTTTTAATATCTAAAAATCGCTAGCAGTAACTCTTAAATACACAAGATAAGTTAGTGTGCAGCAGGCGCATGTAACTCCTCTGCACATAAATAATATCCTAGTGATAGGAGTATTGGAAATATAAGTATTACTCATTACAATAGGAGTGAGCCAATTTTGTGTCCCTTAAAATGGACAGACTCCTTGAATGGAATTGTAAACAGTTTCTGTAAACCAGGCTGAAGTGTCTCTGAAGAGAACAAACTATCATAATTAGGAGAGCCCCAGTATTAGCATTTTTCTGATTGACTATGCCTTGCTGCTAGGATTGCAATGACTTCAGCAAAAGCATTTTGCTGATGTGAGGTCAAGGCCATCCCCCCCCTCCTTTTTTTTTAAACAAGTCTGAGGGCTGGGATGTGATGGATACAAGGGGCGTGTAAAAGGGAATCTACCTTCTGAAGTGTTTAAAGAAACAGTTATTAAAAGTTTTGTTAATGGGTCAGATGGTAGATAATAGATCAGCAGTCTGTTAAATTCAGAATAGGACCTGAAAAAAACAGAAGAGTTTTGTTTTCCATTAAGTGGCAGAAGGAGATCTTAGGGAGTCAAAAACAATAGGATGAAGATGAGAGGTAGTAGTTGTAATAGTCAAAATTAATAGTGATTAGTAATAAAGGGTCAGAAAAGAGTACTGAAGAATCAGAAAATTAATCTGATTTCATCATCTTGGGTGGAGCTGTCCGCTTTTTAAGTAAATATCTTGAGGAAAATTCCTCGGAAGGAAGGAACATCTAGTATCTTTTGGGAAACATGAAGCCAGTGAACAACACCTTGAAGTTTTACTGCTGAGTCAGTTAACAAAATCTGATCACTTTTTATTGATACTCAGTGGCAAGTTCTCTCTGATGGCATCTTTTCCAGAAGACCAAAACTCTAGATTAGTGGTCCCCAACCTTTTTGGCACTAGGGACCTGTGCTCCTATGAGCATC